ACTGCAGCCTCAACCTGCTGGGCTCAGGCAATCCTTCTGCTTCAGCCTTCCAAGTAGCTGTAACCACAGGTGCGAACCACCACACCCGGCTGATTTTTTAATTTATTGTGGAGATGAGGTCTTACCATGTTGCTCGAACCCCTGGGCTTAGGCAATCCTCTTACCTCGGCCTCCCAAAGTGTTGGGATTACAGGCTTGGGCCTGAAATGTCATTTATGCCTAACTGTACTTCAGAATTACAGTAGCTACTAGACTTTTCTGAAAGTTATTTAAATATTCAAAGAAGTCCATCACAGTTTTCTTAAATATTTTGATAACTGTATGTCAATATACTTTGCTTCTTTTGAATCATGTGCATTTCATGGTTTAATTTCAAGCATTTAAAAACATTACTCAGAGAAAGCTGTCTCTAGACTGCAGCACAGGAAACGGTAAAGAGCCTCCCTTAGACCATGGCCAGGCCCCCCAGGCAGCAGGGATGGGTCAGACAGACACTCAGAGAAGGGTCTGGCCCACCTGGAAACTCAGATGCCACTGGACACCCCAGTATCCTATATGGAAAAAAGCGTAGGGGAGCTAGAGCCGCAGGCCAGCGAGATCTCACGGGGAATAGGAAGTGGGAAAGGTGTTCTGCCGGGAAGGGCAGCCAGACCTTGTGTGCAGGAAGGACGCCTCGCAGAGCCATGAGTGTTTATGCGCAGGGAGGCAGGGAGACGGTGTCTGCCAGGCACGATGCAGGTGAGAATGAGGGAAGCCACATGTTCCACACACCTGTGGGTCACAGCTGTGGTTTGTGGCCGAGGTGAGGAAGCTGTGTCAGGTTTCAAGCTAGAGGACTAGGAGAATGGTGATAACAGCTCACGTTTATTGAGTGCTTACTGTGTGCCAGATGCTGTTCTAAGCCTTTCTGTGCCATTTATATGTCAATTAATTGATATCATTTATCAATTAATTGTCCCAGGGTTATCATAGAAACCCTATGAGGTCAGTACAGTAGTCCTTATTTTGCAGATAATGAAACAAAGTCTAGAAAAGTATGGTTAGGAAAATTGCTCCAAGTCTCACAGCCATTAGGGAAGAAAGGAGGAAGAAATGTTACAAGGTCAATTTTAGAAATGGTTCCATTGTTCTCGTGTCTTATTTTAAAGGACTAAAAATTCAAATATCTGTAATCACGGTTTCTGGTTTATTTCATTATCTAATTATTTATGTATGTATTTGTATTAGTGAGTGCTGAGATAATTTGTAAATTGGTTTCATCTTCCTGTGAAAAACAGAGGAGACTGGTAGGTTGAGTTTGGCACGTTGATGGGTGCCCAGAACAGAGGGTGAGGTGGCAGTTTCCAGTAGAGAAGCTCAGTGTGCACTAAAATATTCCTGTTTAATGACGCGGTTGTTCTTTTGTTGCGGTATTGTCTTTCAGGACCAGTTCTGCCGCTGTTTTAGAAGACATGTGGTGTATATAAAGTTTATGATAGTTGGCGGAAATTTGGTAAGTGTTGCTGCATTTCTTTCTACTGCCTCTCGCTGCAAGTGGTGCTCAGAAGGGAAGCCATCGCCTTGTGCTGTTCATCTTTTAAATCTGTACTAAACTCAGGCAGAACGGAATTTTATAATTAAATGTGACATTGAATTGGTGTTTCCTGACAGTATGACATTTTTCTCTTGTTATGGCTGATGGTTTTAGGCAATATGGGGTTTTCTCAAATTTAGCAAGTCTAGATTTAGGAAAGCTTCCGGATGCAAGATAAAGAACACCCTTGACAGTTTTTATCCTAAGCCAACTGCGTAATCTAAGAGTAATAAACTTGCAGACCAAAAGAACCAAACAAATCCTCCAAAGCAGAGAGATCCTTAGGGCTCATATACTGAAATGGGAGAGAAGCTTGGGGAATGGAAATTAGGGATATGTGGAATTCAGAATGCCCAGGAGCCAGCATAACAGTGGTCTGAGATACCAAGAACATTCGATTCAGCAACCACTCTTCCTAGCAGTGAAAAAGAGGACAGACAGCCTTGAGGTTGGAGACCTGGGTTAAAATGTAAGTTCTGTTAGGTAACCTCTCTGAGCCTCAGTTTCTCTTCTGTAAAATAAGGATTATCATAATACCCACCTCACAGGGTTGCTGTGAGAATCAAATGAGCTGGGCCAGGCTGGGGCACAGCAGGTGCTCAATAAAGCACTCGTTCGTGATAATGGCAGCCTTGTCTGGAGACTGGACATTCGCCATTGAGGTCCAGCCACCAAGAGGTGTGGGTGTCTTCCAGCAGAAGGGCTACTGGGGATGGTGGGTCATACCCACATGCTGTCACAGGTGTCCCAGCTGCTCACCACAGCCTCCCTCCTACACAGGCTGCATCAGGAGCTTTGAAGCCCCTGGACATTGGCCTCCTTCTCCAACTCTGACGACCCATTCATAGGTGAGCTCGATGAACTCAGCTCTCTTCCTGCCACCTTCGTGACCAAGTGGGGTCACCTTGTTTGAGCTTTGTCCACTTTGGGATTAAATGTTACTTTGAGCCACATTAGCAACAAGAAAGAGAAGGGCTGGGGTGACGGATCCTCTGCTGGGCCTCAGTTGCCATGCTGAGGCTTTCATTTTCGAAGATTTCTCTGGCTCTGTACTCATCATGGAAACCCAATGACTAGGCTGATATTTTTTGGCTTTGACTAGAGGAACTTGGCTTTTGGGTGTGGCCTTTCCCTGTGGTTGAGGAGAGTCCACTGTGGCCCTGCACTGGCCAGTGCTTGAGGGCAGATGTCTGTAGGGGACTGCATTGCCCTTCCACAGAATCAGAGTTGGGCGTGGCCTCGAGGTTGACTGGCCCCCTCTGCTAACCAAGAAGTGTCTTCTACAGAGTCCCTGACAGGGAGATTCCAATTCTCTCAAGAGGAGGGGCTTGCTACTCACAAGGCAACTTGCTTCCATTAAAAAAACAGTTGGGAGCCATGGGGAAATTTATTTAGGGGGGTGACAAAATTGTTCTATATCTTAATTGTAGTGATATTTATGCAGTTGTATGCTTGTGTGAAAATTCATAGAACTAGAATGGGTGAATTTTGCTGTATGTTGATTAACCTGGGGTTTTTTTTTGGTAGAGATGGGGTCTTGCTGCATTGCCCAGGCTGGTCTCTAACTCCTGGCCTCAAGTACCCCTCCCACTTCTACCTCCCAAAGTGCTGAGATTACAGGCATGAGCCATTGTGCCCAGCCCCTAAACTTTAATTTTTAAAATGAAAAAAATGAGCAGTTAGACAAACAGAAAAATTAGTTCAACTTGTTATAAAGAAAGAAAGGAGTGGAAAGGAGAAAGAGGGAGGTAGGGAGGGCAAGCAGTGAGTCTTTGTGTTGAACTGCAGCATGCACATCACAGGACAGGCGCTTGGTCTTGTTCCATCCTGCATTCTCAGTGCCTGCACGTGGAGGTGTGTGATGGGATTTACAGTCACTCCTGCTCTCAGTGGCAGTCAGTCTACTCACTCATTCACACTCCCGCCTGCCACATTTGGAGACATTCTCTGCCCTCACTCATTTTCTCTGGATGAACTTGCTGCTCTCGTTCTTGGACTCTGTCCTGTGATGTCACTTTCGTATCCCTCCCCACCTGGCAGAGCCCCTTGAAAGCCTCTGCTTTCCCATGCCCTTCTGGGCACACAGGCCAGCACTGGGCACACTGCCCTGGAGCTGGCTAGGCGTGGGAGAAGCACAGCAGGTGCCTTGCTTCTGTGGATGACCTTTGCAGACCCCAACCTTGTCCTCCTCCCTCAAAATCAGTGTGAGGTGTCGGGCAGTGGATCGGAAGGAATTTCTTCAGGGCAATCTTCTCAGGAAGGTGCTCCTGTGGTCCCAGAGTCCAGTGGCAGCACACTGTCCTCTCAGAGGTCTTGGCTGGATGAAACCAGGTCCTGGCACCCTCCATGAGACTGCAAGAGCGTTGTTGATGAGTCTTGGGAGGGAGCAGGTGTCAGATCCCAAGTCCTCACTGTGAGTCATGGGAAGCTTGAAGTTCTTAAAACTAAAACTTGTGGGTGCCTTGAAAACCCTAGATTATTTTCCTGGCCATGCCAGGAGAAGATATTTAAGTGCATAAATATAGATAGAACAGTGGTTCTCACCGGCCAGTTTTGCCCTTCCGGAGGACATTTGGTAACATCTGAAGTCACTGTTGGTTGTCATGACCATGAGAGCAAAGTGGTTGTGTGCTTGTGATATCTGTTGGGTGGGGGCCAGGGATGCAGCTAAATGTCCTGTGATGCACAGGACAGTAACACATGCACACATGTGCACACACACATGTGCACATGCACAGAAAGGTCCAGCCCAAAATATCAGTAGTGCCAAGGCTGAGAAGCTCTGATATTAGAAGTAATTTAAAAGCGTAAATGTCTGCAGTACTTATTTTGAAAGTTTAAAATTTAAAATATCTTAACATTTAACAATATGTAAACAAATGTAAATATATAATATGTAAATATATACAATTACCTGTCTTGGTAAATGTATATGTAAATTTGGACATATAAAATAATATGTAAATTATATGAATAATATGCAGATATATAACTAATGTTTAATATATGTAAATAACATGTAAATGTAAAATAATAAAACACCAGGAAATGTGTTCAGAGCATCCTAGGAGTGGAATGGCTCTTACCCCTAACTCCAAGCAAAAAAATGGCCTGAACAAACTCAGACATCTAGGTCTCTGGTGGCTTATAAGGAACGGCAGCCAACTAAAGATAAAAGCAAGGCTCAGGAAACATGACCCCAGTATTCACACAAAAGAGTTTGTCTTGTATTTTAAATTTCACCCCCAGCCTCTTCAGATGTGTTAGTGGTTAGATGACCTCTGAGATGAAATGGTGTTTCCATCTGGGCTGTTCTTCCTTTTGAATCCAGGGTTGCGACTCTGGTGTTAGGGAAATGTGCCTGGGAGGAGAGAGATCTCTTTACAGATGATTGAGATTGGGCTTCTTGGTGCACAGCACTGTTTGTTTGCATCAGGTAGTTGGTGACTACACAGTCTGGTCTAAATGGGAGTGGATGGGAGCGTCTGTAGCCCAACATGGCCACATTTGCTGAAGCAGGGAGACGAAAACATCATCCGTCAATTTGTGATATAGAATAATCCACTTGAAAAGACTTTGCTTAATTATAGGGCCTCTTTTGGGAGGGTAGCAGTGCTTTCTGCGAGGTGTATTTTGGGATACGCTCACTCAGCTTCTAGGCCAATAATATCTTCCTAGAAAGGGTGTGGTGTGTGCCTGCCGACATAAATATTTTCTAACCAAAAGCTTTGGTGTGATATTCCTTCAGCTTTATTACTGTTCATTTTCTTCTTCTGATAGTCTTTCCTCTTGCAAGAGTGCTATGAAAATGGATTCTGGAAAGCCAGAGAAGAGGAGGATAAAATATCTCATTTCAGATGACCACATCCAGAGATTTAGGGACTTGTGATACCAGTATACTGTTTTTAAGATGAATGGAATTTAGAAGAATGTGGGAGATGGTAAAAACATCATGTTGACACTAATTTTTTTTTATTTGAGTCAAAGTCTCTCTCTGTCATCCAGGCTGGAGCGCAGTGGCATGCTCATGGCCACCGCAGCCTTGACCTGCTGGCCTCAGGCAATCCTTCCGCCTCAGCCTTCCCAGCAGCTGGAACCCACTGGTGCACACCACCCACACCTGGCTAATTTATTGTAGAGACCTAGGGCAGCGATCTGCATGCACTTTTGTTCTTTAGGACTTGCAGCATTTGTAGCTCTGCCTTCAGGGTCCAGCCTCTCATGGCCTCCTTCCCTTCTCTGAATACCTGAGGCTTTGGGCCTTCAAGGAGAGGTCAGAACTTTCTTTTCATCAGCAATTTCCTAGTTCTCATTTGAAAGTGAATGATAAGCCTGCTTGGTGGCTCAGCCTGTAATCCCATGCCTTTGGGAGGCTGAGGTGAGTGGATTGCCTGAGCCCGCAGGTTCAAGACCCGCCTGGGCAGCAACACCTCATCTCTACAATAAATCAAAAAATCAGCCGGGCATGGTAGCGCATGCCTGTAATTCCGGCTACTCGGAAGGCTGAGGCGGAAGGATCGCCGGAGCCCAGTGGGTCGAGGCTGCGGTGGCCGGGAATGGCTACTGCACTCCAGACTGGGCGACCGAGCGAGACTAACCCAACCAGACCTAAGTGCTGGTGAAAAGCTTTCATCTAAATGCTGAGTTGTAAAGGCCATGAAACGAGAGCAAGGATGCTCCATGGTGAGCGGGAGGCAGAGAGTTCCCTGAAGAGTCCTCCGTGAGCCTCCCCGAGCAGAATCAGAGAGCCTCCTTAGGTGTACAGCCCCCTGGGCCCACCGCACAGGAGAGTTAAGTCCCTGGGGTGGGTGTGAGCCTTCGTGCTGATAAATTCTCCAGGTGATTCCCTCGCATACTGAACCGCCAGACTCCTGCTCCACTCTCTACTTACGGTTTCTGCTCAGGGCTTACAGTCCACCTGAG